AATCTGCCCCATACAAGGACGACGATAGGAATACGGACACGAACCTACGTGGTTTATAAAATTTTAGCTATTGACAATAAGTTTTTAAACAACATCTAGAAAACTTTTTTATAAAAAACTTTACAATACCAGGAAGCAGCTGTGATTGTGAAATGTTCGAATTTATGCATACTGTGCATTATAGAACATGTGTATGTAATTAAATCAAAACACCTATTGTGATAGTAGTTTCCAGCTTGTAATGATGTTCCCTTCAAAGATGGTCCATAAGGACTGAAACATGTAAGGGTTGATAGGTTTTCACGTCGCAAAACTTATATGTCACATTGGATGGAGTGATTTGTATTTGTAATTGTTAATGTGATGGACCAGAATGAAACAAATCAAATTCATCTGAAGTTGGAATATAAATTTGATTTTTGATTCTAGTGTTCAGGCAAGAACCTCTGAACCTGAACAGAACATTAAGCTTAAGAATACTACTGTCATAAATGTTAACTTCCCAAAATCTTTAATTGATATTTGCATCTGAATACACTGTTCTAAACTGTTGATATGAGCATTATTTTTCCAATGATACACAACTGACCGTAGTAACCCCATTTTTCTTCCAATGAAATATAAACACAAAAAAAGTACGGTTACTAAAGAAATTAATAAATTGTGCAATCAAGACATTGCATTGCTGGTGACATTCAACAGAACCCTTTTTTAATATTTCAAATGTTTCCCCCTTCTTCAAAAAAACTTCATTATATCCTAGCATGCATACCTATCTTTACAGAAAAAGTAAAGCACAGATTAAAATTATTACTGCCCTTACATAATAAATACAGATGTGATAAAGGTAAAGCTATCTCTGTGCTACATTAAGCACAAACTATGGTAATGTATGGGGGAGATTAGGTATGGATCCATGCATTCTTAACTTCAGCACCCGATGGAGTTTAGTGTTCAGTTTCATTATCTTATCCCAGAGGCAGTCTGGATGTGATGGCAGAAAGAAAATATCTGCCCACCTGTGAACTGACCACAGGTCATCTAGCTTATTTTTTTTCCTTGGCACTACAGCCCCCGTGGGCTTAGGCCTACCTCCGTGAACTTCTCCGTTCACTTCGCTTTTTCTAGATCTTACACATTCGGTAGGACTCCTTGGGCGGATGATCAGCCCGTCACAAGGCCTCTACCTGTACACAAGCCAGAAAAACGCACACACACAAACTAAACATCCATGCCCTGAGTGGAATTCGAACCCACGATCCTGGGTTCCAGGCGAGCGAAGACAGTGCATGCCTTAGACCGCCCATCTAGCTTATAGCCTAGTCAAAATACTAATTTAGATGACACATCTTCTAGATTCACCCAATATTGAGGTCAATAAGGAACATCAAGCCAAGCACAAGTTTATGATGAAAATTGCTATGATTGTTCAGATATCAGTGGACAGCTAAGCTGGTATAGTCACTAGGATATGGGCTGGATAACTGAGGAAATAGTGTCTGATTATACAGTGTCCAGGCAAACGCTGGGGACCCATCCACCCTCCTATCCAATAGCAGATGGGCAATATTTTCTCATGGGTAAAGCCACTGGGACATGGAACATGACTATTCACTTCCATCCAGTGCTGAGATTAAGAATGAATGGAGCTATACCTCTAATACAGCTTCATGACATAGTGTTTAATTAAACACAGGGACAACTTTGCTTTTTAATTTTATAAATTCAAGGCAGGAAGGCAGTTTCCTGCTTCTGCAGTGCTCACACCAACCAATGAGAGCAGAATAAACTAATTTTCAGGCCAAGCCATATTTGGAAGCTTACAGGTTATCTGTTTCATCTTGGATGTCTATAGCTCTATAGCTCATGCTCTATGGCAAGCTAACATTTTAAGCCATCGTGGAAACCACAAATGAAGTTTTAGATGGAATTTATGATGCCTATTTTCCTTCAAAGTACATGGTGAGGTTTCTGCTCTGAAGATGAACATTTCAGGTTCCTCCCCATTGTTGATCACCTCTTACAAGCTTACATGCTACAGGGGATGGACAAAAATATGGAAACACCCAACAAAAAACATATTACCATGACTAGTATGGTGTAGGACAACCTCTGGCGTGCAGAACTGCTTGCAGTCTCCTTGGAATGGATAAATAGAGGTCCTGTATGATTTGCAAGGGAATCTTGTACCATTCTTCCTGAAAAACATGGTAAGTTCTATTATCGATGTTGGAGGTGGATAGCGCGCACACAGATTGCTCTCCAAAACAGACCATAAAGGCTCAATAATATTGATATCTGGCGACTGTGGGGGGCCATGGCAGATGTGACACTTCATCTTCATTCTCAGAAAACCAGTCCTGGACAATGTGAGCTATGTGAACACAGGCATTGTCGGCTTGGTAAATGGCATCACCATTAGGGAACAAAGTTTGCATCATGGGATGGGCCTGGTTGCCCAAAATGGTCACACAGTTCTTGGCATTGACATGACCTTGCAGGGTAATGATGGGTCCCACAGAATACCACGATATGGCTGCCCATACCATGATCGAACCCCTGCCATATTTCACTCTTGGCAGCAAACAATCTGGATCGTAAGCTTGGGATGGCGTTCTCCAGACGTAAACTCGGCCAGAAGTCGAAAACAGTGTGAAGGTGGACTCATCCGACCAAATGACCGTCTTCCATTCCTCCATAGTCCAGTTTTTATGACTTTGGCACCACACTCTCTTCGTAGTGGCATTTTGATCACTGATGAGTGGCTTTGGAATTGCAGCTCGTCCAGAAATACCCTGCTTGTGGAGTTCCCTTCGTACTGTTTCGGTGCTGACAGGGTTTGTGAGCGTGACAATCAGTTCAGCACTCACTTTTGCAGATGTAATCTTCTTATTTTTCATCACAATCCTACACAATGTTCGTCTGTCTCGATCACTCAACACGCATTTCCATCCAGGCTGGTGTTTATCACATGCGGTTTTTTTCAGTCCTCCTGTATGCAGTCATAATCTTGGATACTGTGCCTCATGAAACACCAAAAACCTCAGCTACCTTGGTTACGGAAGCACCCACCATATGGGCCTCAACAATTTGCCCGCGTTCGAATTCTGTTAGCTCTGACGTGATGCACAAAAAATTGCACAGAACACTGTCTCAATAACAAATGAAGCTTGCAAAGTATTGTGGAGGTTGTACAGGTAGTGGTGTTGGGCAGATACAACAGTGTGACCTACAAACATCGCTAAAATAAACACTTCAATTCAGGCATGCATTTCACGAGGTGTTTCCATATTTTTGTCCATCCCCTGTACTCCTGTACTACTACATAGAAAATCACTACTTAAAATTCAGTGCCACATAAACCTCAAATCTCATTCATGGATTACTGGTTCTATGAAGATACCAACGTAAAAATTGAATGATGTAAAATGAGGGATCACCATGTGACATGTAACTCTAGAATATCCAGACAATGGTGGACTCTTCTAAGCAGTTTAGTCTGGTAGCCTTACTCACCTTCAACATCAGGATTTAAGTAGTTTTTTACTTCTTCTAAAATAAATAAAATTTCATCTTCAGTTGGTTTTGGGTTGTGTGTGACCTGACAAGGCAGATCGGTTGTGCCGGCAATGGTGTGTTTCAGCCAAGGCAAGAAGAAAATTACACGCCCATCTGATGTATCTGGGTCAAGCAGGCCCATTTGATCAGGACTATACAGTACAAAAATTAACATTATAAACAACAATTTATGCATGGTCTAGTTATCTAGGAAATTAATTACTCTGTCATATTTTACCGCACTTCATTCATCATTTTTTTCTTTGGCACTACAGCCCCAGTGGCCCTAGGCCTACTTCCATGAACTTCTCCGTTTACTTCAGTTTTACTAGATCTTACACATGCGGTAGGATTCCTTGGGTGGGCGATTAGCTCGTCGCAAGGCCTCTACCTGTACACAAACACAGAAAAACGCACACACACAAACTAAACATCCATGCCCTGAGTGGGATTCGAACCAGCGATCCCGGTTTCCAAGCGAGCGAAGACAGTACATGCCTTAGACCGCTTGGCTACCGTGACCGGCCTCATTCATCACTTATAGATCATTATTCTAGCCTCAATAACATCTTGAAAAAGAATGAATTAGGTATGTCTAAAGTTCTTTATGGTAGTACTGTGACATGAGTATATGGTCCATTGTGAAGCAAAGGCTGAGTAAACACATATCACTACCCAGACTCCTGCTAGGCAACAGCTGTCACAATTAGAGATTGCTAGAAACACTGTTCTCTATAAGGCCTATGCCAAGGATATATAACTAGGCCAGACAGGCTGCTGACAGCCAGTGACAGTGAGTGATAGCCAGTAAGTGGACAGTCATTGCTAGTAGCCCATGAGTTGCAGCTGAGGGTAGATCACTGGAGTAACAGATTAGCTGTGAGACAGTGAACACAGAATCAGAAATAAGCAACAGGTAATAATGATAAACTGTGTTCACTTAGTGCATGCTGCAGTGATTTGTAAAGTGTGTACAATAGCAATAGCACTGTGATTATTTGTAGTTAGAGGTTACAGAGTCAAATAAATCCAATTATCAATCCACACTCCCATGTCTAGTCACTAACACGTGACAGCATGTTATTGAACTGATACGTCTGTTTGACATTTTTCATCGTCTAATTTTTGTTTAATTGTGATCTAGTGGTCAGAGTTCCTGCCTACAGATCCAGAGGTCCGGGTTGGATTCCCGGTGCTACCAGATTTTCTGAGAAGTAGTGGGTCTGGAATGTGGTCCACTCAGCCTCGTGAGGATAACTGAGGAGCTATTTCAAGGAAATAGTGGCTCCGGTCTGGAAAACCGAAATTAACTACCATGCAGATTCATTGCACTGACCATATGACATCCTCTATCCGCTAAAGTTGGCAGTAACTTCGCCAACAAGTAGCAGTCACTCGGTCATTATAGTTCACTTGCACTCAAGCCACAGAGTTGTTTTCTAACACAACATTACAGAAGCCAGCTCTCATTCCATGAAGAGTTAAATAAATGAAAACTACTTTGATGGGATCGTTAACTCAAGCTATTCTGTCACTGGACCACGGACAGAGACTAGCTAGATACAATGGATGTAACAGTGTTTTTCGTACCTTCACCTGATGAAGGAAACACAGCCAGGTCCACAACACTGTGTTTCTAATTAAACCCACAATGATGGAAAATGTCAATAAATGTGTCAGTTTAAGAAAGAATTAAACAAAGTCACAAACTATTTCTAACAGAGATAAGGCACACTTCTAAATAAATAAATAAAATCTTCCAATTCATTATCATTAATAGCATGTTTCAGCTTCAAATACAATTCCTAAAATTTATTTCTGTGAATTCTGAGCAGAACTATCAGCATTAAAGGCTTTATCATGAGTTTCCTTTCAAAACTGTAAAAATCTGACTACATAAATGCTAATAAAATTGGTATCCATCACTCTCAGGTCTCATTTTCTTTGGAACTGTTGTCTGTAATTACTGCTGGGACACAGGTACTTTCCATCATGCCTATATGTTCATGCCATCTTATTAGATAATCTTTAATTCTTTATCAGTATCAACTACCTTTAATTCCATTCTTTAATGTGTAATGCATATGTGATAGAAGTGTGTCCAGCTATTACTGCAAGGGAATGCCTTGCTCTGCTTGTATTCTACTATTTACATCTTCTTGCTGAAGTCCAAGATACAGCTTAAATTGAAGACTGTGACCTTACAAGGTGTGATGATGCTCAGTCTGTTAAGTAGGTATCAACATTTCAGAGGAACTTGCCAAACCTTACTCCATCCTGGACTAAATTACGTGATGCCACACCCCAGAAGGCAGTGATCTTCATAGTCATTGTGATGAGAACCTCAGAGCTTACACCCCACCCAGCATCACTTTACCTGTAGTATCCTGGCAACACAATGTGAACTCCTGAACTAGGGCAGCATATTCCTTTTGCCGAAGGGTTGTCCATCTTGCGAATTGTATCAGTCATAGGCCCAGTAGCATTGATAATACATTTTGCTCGGATATCCCATTCTTTCCCTGTAATCTCATCACGTAAACTTGCACCACAGAGTACAGACTTTCCAGATGAATCTTTTTCTTTTAATAGTTTTGTAACACGGACATGATTGGCTACTGTTGCTCCATGTCGTGTAGCAGTCAAAGCCACTGAAAGGCACATGCGAGCATCATCCATCTGACCTGAAATGATAAAGATGCAATGGTGGTGGAAGTCCTTAAACAATGTAATATTGAGAAAATTATCAATTAAATAAAATTGTCAATTGTTATGTTCTCGGGNGGGGGGGGTGGAAAAAAAGATCACATATAAGAGAGGGTGTCTACACATTTTATCTCTGACATTACTCAAGAGATTTCAATAAAATCTCATATTGCAGTTTTACATTAAAAGCTGTCAACCAAATTTAATTTTTGTAACATATGAAGTTCTTGCAGTGATGGATATGAAGATTACTGTTTAATGAGATTTGATGGTGTATTGTCTGGCATATGTCTACCTCCTCCTTCAAAGAGAAGACACAGTAATCTTCATAGTCATAAGTGTGAGAATCTCAGACCTCACATAATTATCATCCATTTTAAACCCTAGACATGGAGAGAGCATGTCCTTCCAAAAGAGCTGTGAACATCTACCAGAAGACTGTAATCTTCAAATTTAATTTTCATTCATATCAGTGCAATGTAGCCCAAACTACTTTTTGTTAGGAATTTAACCTGGTTATTTTCTTCAAAAGTGGCCCATAAAACACCTTCATAACATAAAAATGGCATTATTATGATGTACAAATTTTATGTGAAATATATAGCATGCAGGAAGAACACAGACTGAGGGTATCTGAGAATAGGGTGAGGAGAATATCTGGACTGTACAGAGAGGAAGTGACAGGAGGTTAGAGGAACCTGCATAATGAGGAGTTTCATAACTTGTATGCTTCTCCTAGTCAAGGAGGTTGAGGTGGACAGGGCATGCAGCACGAATGGGGGAGAGAAGAAATGCATATAGGATATTGGTGGGAAAGTCGGAAGGAAGGAGACCACTGGGAAGGCCAAAGCGTAGGTGGGTGGACAATATTAAAATGGATCTCAGAGAGATAGGATGGGATGGTATGGACTGGACTGATCTGGCTCAGGATAGGGACCAGTGGAGGGCTCTTGTGAACATGGTAATGAACCTTCAGGTTCCATACAATGCTGGGAAGTTCTTGAGTAGCTGCACAATTGGCGACTTCTCAAGAAAGGCTCAGCTCCATGGGTGAGTGTAATATATATTGTAGCGTGTTTTATGTGTCACGCTACAAATAAATCCACGTAGGTCTCAAATTCAGCAGAACCTTTATTGGGCACTCCACCTATACACTCACGAGTACAATTACTATCCACTGCTTCGCGGTAATATTTCGACCCCCTTCAGCGGCGGATATTTCCAGACTGTCCTCCTCGGCGGATAATTCCAGACTGACTGCTTCTGGTCGAAGCTGGGCTATTTATACCCTCGCCGCTACTATGCAAATGAACCCTCTGTTAAAACCATGGAGACGTTGCTTTGTTTGTTCAGCGTTTCCTACGCAATGACCCATTGTTATTGCGTTGTCTCTGTGGGAACGCTACGCTTGTTTGTCGTAACCGTGGAGATTTGATGTTCTCGATACAACGGCTCACTGTTGGAATTACAGTATCGCTATTGTTACTTCTTATGCAACGGTCTGTTCTAGCGTTTCCATAGAAGTCTCTTCTGGAGTCCAGACACGTTACAATATCATGCACATTATGTTAGTTTCTAAAATAACTGTTGCAGTGTGTACTGCTTCAAGACATTTGCTGATGTAGGAAGGTCAGTAACCATGTTACTCAGGTGTGAATGGGTCAACCAACCCATTTATGCCTGGCTATATGATTTATTTAAGTCAATATACTAACCATCATAATACACAATAGCACCACATAATTTGTCCCCTTGCAACATAGGGAATAATTCCAAGGCATTTTTCTTTGACAGAAAATATGAGCTTTTGAGGGTTTTTGCTCCTGCTACAATATCATACATCTTGATGCCAAACCAATAGTATGGAATCTGCCACCACCTGCAATATAGAAATATCAGAAAAATTCTTATAACAATACTGAACACTCACTCAACTGCAAAAAATGCCAAACAATGCAAAACAACACAATGAGTGAATCCCAAAGCAACATGAAAACTGCATATATGAGATATAGTAAGAAAGGTGAAATTATCCCTGCGCTTAATTAAGCACCACACCATGAAGTCATATGGGGAGTGGAGGAATGGCTCCAAACATTCTTAAGTTCAGCACTAGAAGGAAGTGAGTTATTAGCTTCATGCCCCAGCTGCTTCACCCCCAGGAAGTGTCCCTGGTACCCATGAGACTGGAGGCTGAGTGGCACAATGTGGTGATGAGAAAAATCTCCCACACCTACCATGAGTCACACACAGATTCCTTGGTCACTGAGCCTACAGCGTACCTGCCATACCAATCTAATTACAAATATAAAAGAAACCTTACTGATATGCGATGCAAGAAAAAAGAGCAATACTGATTACTATTTATATTGCATTACTGAGAGAAATACTTCTTCTCCACCACAGGCTCTCTTAACACTGGCAAGAAAGCCACAGAGCTAGATTCTAAGACTAGGTGCAGTATCCAATATTCTCATACTTGTTTCTTTTGCTATGTAGTGAGGAAAACCAATTTTATATCTGATGTTGTGGCAGAATGGCAATCTTGAGATGAGCTCTGTATGTATGAACCCTGAACACTCTAAAGCAGGGTCTCCAAAATTTTTGAACCATGGGCCACATTAGGCAATTCAGCACTTTCAATGGGCCGGATAAAATGGGAAATTAATAACTCTAGGTATATGAGTTTTATTGAAAGCACAGAATTTCGTGAACTAAATACAAAGTACATGAGAATAAATTATCGTATTGTGACATGTTGAGCTCTGAATGACGCCCCTCCCCCCCCACCCTCCGCCAGCCGTGATGCGCCGAGCGAAGCCGAAGCGAGCCGATGTTAGCCGAGTCCTAGCATCCTGGTCGCTAGGCAACGCAAGTCAACGCGGTGACGTCACCGAGGGATATCGCGGTTACTAGGCAGCCGTCAACAACGCCGGACAGCTTGGCTAGCAACAAGGCACCAGGCGACGACTGTCCGATCGAGGCTACATAAGGAGCAGCGAAGGCTATTCACAGTCAGTTGAAACAGAGCTACAGCCGCGTGTGCGATAACCAGGGATAACCAGTCATATCTGGAGTGTGTAATTCAGGGAGACTTGTATAGCTCCCGCATTATTAGTACGTGAAGACTCTCGAAGAGAGTGTTAAGAGATTTTGTTCTAGGGTTTGTAAAGTGTGGAAACCCGTAA